GGAGGGGTGGTTTGGGCATAACCAATGGAATCGGTTGTTGGCTACTTGTTTGCTGAACAACTTGATCAGCCGACAATGAGCAGACGAGCGTCGCGTTTTTATGAGATAGAGCGAGGAAGAGAAGACGAATAATCGGAAGGAGCCTACAGCTTGAAGTTAAGATCCACCACGTAAGATTGTTGTAGTTCCCCACCATTGCGAAGGAACCTTCTTTCCGATTGTAAATTTTTATCAGCTTTCATCCATCACCTCAATTGACTTCTTAGTCTAAGCCATAGGTGGGCGTCGCAATCTGTTGGCGCACCCTTTTACTTTTTGTATAATAACTGGTAGAAGCTTTTTTGAAGCTTAATACTAGGATTCCAGTTTTAAAATTAGGATAATTTAAACTGAATTTACTCAATGGCCTCTTTCAAGCAATGTTAATTCACCTCAAAAGCCATAATTATAAATCTTACACAAGAAGGCATTTCCAACACTTTTTAATCACAACTTCTCTCAAAACCCACACAAAAATGCTAGAATATGATTTTGTATAATTTTGTTGATTGGTGAAAGACTATGCAGACTAGACATAGTCGATGGAGTCTACGTGATTGGCGAGTTCTTTGAAGCGCTGGATGAGTGCCTCTTCGTTGAGGGCCCTTTCGTAGACGTAGGGCATCGGTGGGATCAATGTGATCATACCTGTGACCACGATGAGAATCAAGTAAACCCAAAAACAAAATCTGTCTACCACCATTCCCACGGCTTCCCAATCACTGGCCAGGCGGGCAGCATGGTCCTTCTCGTTGAACTAAAAGTTAAATCATCCACATAAGGCAAAATAGACTGTTATTTCATTCACTTGGGGTTTACCCAAGTACCTACAAAAAGCATGAATAAAAGACCACCTTTATTGTATCGAAATTTCCACAACATTCAAGTGACTGTAAAAATATTGTTCCTTTGATGGTGTTCATGATTTTTTAAGCTAGCAAAAAAGAATATTATCTCAGCGTAGCAAAATCTATCTTCTCCCTGGCTGGTGAGTCCTTGGTCATTCTCTAGCCAATAGGAATGTCCGCTAAACGGCTCTTCAGATCTCCATCTCACCTTGTACATTAGATTGCGCAGAGCCCTCTTGATCTCCTTCAAACTCGTCTCTAGTTGTTTGCCAGCAGTCGTCGTTGCAGGTGCTGTCACTGGAGCCTGTTGACGATGCGCCAACGTCTGCATTTGGAGCACATGCTGCTGCTGTTGGCAGTAGCAGGGTCCAGACATCTGGCCCGCTGCCGCGCGCGACTCAAAGGAGTCACGTCGACGTCGTCGATCCTTGGCCAAACGCATTTCTATCTTGCTGATGTTGATTTCCTCGGCATGAGAAGGGTTGCTAAGACACAGAACACCTGGCTGCAGACCTAACCACCTTGATGACATTTTCACGAGCTAAAAGACAAACTCCCAATTTTGGTAAGCAGGAGTAGTCGTCAGATTTCAATTTATAAGATTGCTGAATGATGAAATTAAAACTTAGCAGATGGAGACAGATGAATGGGGAGAAAATGAATAGATGATTGGGTGGGCGGATGGATGGATCCGGGATGGATGGATGGGTCTACTGCAATGACTCGATGCACAAAATTACCTCCGCCAGCCACGAAGGCAACGGTTTAGTTTGGTCCTCACGGAAGTGAATTTGAACGGCGATGAGCGAGAAGAAGGTGAAAATCGCTATCAGGACCATGTTGAGACAGTAGTAGTAACCTGCAGACGGAAGAATCGAGTGCGACAAGTCCTTGTGCCACCTTCTCCACACTTACTTAGACTAATGCTAGTCAGTTAAAAAATGCTCAAATTTGCTTGCACATTAACTCACTTGGTTAATTTAGCTGCGATGTGCGGAAAAAGAACCAAAATGCATTGCTGACTCAAATAATTAGGTTAATGTGAGGGGCTCGAAAGGCATTTTGTAATTCACATTTTTTCATGAATGAAATGCTAAGCTATTTTTAACGCCCATGTTATTTACGAAACTCGAGTAATTTTTTAATAACCGTGTGATTTCCATACAACTCGCTGGAAGTGTTTCTCGAAACTCAAAGGGACTTGCAAAGTGATTGTGGTTGTCCGTCTGCTCTGCTCTGAGTTGCTCCACTTTTAACACTCCTTTCAGAAAATGTGAATTTCAAGGTTACGAGAAAGCCACTGTAAGAATTTTTACAGCATTTGGAGAAGGCGTGACAGCAGATCGCGAAGGAGAGAAATAGCCCAAAATCAAGCATTCAGTTAGGCAATGGAGGGCAGTTGATAAAACACCACGTTTGAGGAAAATGCCCCCTAACAATCTTGAGGGATTACGAGGATCTTTCGTGATGGCTCCCATAAAAAAAGCGACTCTTGTCTGCTCATTGTCAGTTGATCGAGTCGTGATGGAAAATGATTTCCGTGCCTTTACATTCCAACGTTCGTTTAGCAGACAAACAGCCAACAGCCTCTCT